CGAAACGATCATACTGCCATGGAATAATAAACATCCTGCGAGGTAACCGCAATTCACATCAGAATTCGCTGTCAAGCTTTCACAGGCAAGGTAAGCAAAGAAGATCGTCAACTCTACAGATGTCTGTCAATATTTTAAATTGACTATTATAATGACTCAGTAAAACACTGAGGAGATATTTGATTGGCACGTTTTCAAGCTTAGCAGATCAAGCTCATATAGTATACAGGTAACGGCTGACAGATTTTTAGAGGTAAGTAAGAAAGTCAATTGCTTCCCAGATATGTTATGCTAGCAGATCTTTGTTTCGTACTTTGCGGTCAGCGATGGAATCTTCCATTACAGAGAAACCACCAACAGAGGTTTCCTTACACATGACTTGATAGATGCTGAACAGAAATTTCATAACAAGTTTTGGAATGCTGTCAAACTGGCAGTGTCACGAAAGATCTGATTTTGTTGTCATTACATAAACTCAACTCCAAACTAGCTCTTGGAAGCTGAGATCCAAAATAGTCCCAAAATATCATAAAAAAATATCAACCATTCTAATAGAAAGTTTGTTTACGAAAAAAATCGATAAATGAAATAAAAACACATAACTTCTCTAGACTTTTAAGGACCCTGTTTCTCTTTTGAAGCAGACACTCGGTCTACCGGGAAAATTGGTAGTTAAGTCCCCCTCTGGTCTCCGAAAGTGGACGCTGTTGTAAAACCAATCACCATTTCTCTGAGCGGGTTTCAGCAGACTGTTTCGGATCCGTCGGACAATTTACCCGGCTCCGGCAGAAAGAACAGATTTCTATCTACCTTGCTCTCGTAATGCATAGCAAAAATTGTTACTACTAATTTAAGATACCAATCATTGAAAAATTAAACGCCTTTTCAAGAAACGTCTTCATTTTGACAGAGAGGCTCAAAAGAGCACATTGTGTACTCCATTAAAGCGTAATTGGATGAGAGACATACGTCAGAGCGCAGCGAGAAGTTTAAGGCCCCCAAGCGAGTTTCCTTTTCTGTCTTTGAGTTGTTTGTTTCTGTTTCTTCATGTTTTGTTTGGTTAGCCTCTTTTTGTTAAAGTGACAAAGATAGCAAGGCTTCCTGGCGCCTGTATCAATTGTCGCTTTAAATCCTTAAAGAAGGTCTTACACATTTTTTCCTGTTGCCCTTTTTTTCTTCATATGACCCTGTTATGACCTTTTTGTTTTAAAATTAAGGTGTTCTTTAGTACAATACTTTTCCTTTTCCGTTAATTTGCATGTTCACAATGCCGCTTTTGTTGTGCAGGCGCCTTGCATAAAATGTACATTAACAAAGTCAGTCTGGTGTATATTTTTGTTATCTGTGTCACAAGTTTTGCTTTCGACGGGTTACAACTTGCGTAGATTGCCAAAGATACGTTTAACTTAGTAGATAGGAAAACTTTGCGTAAGGTGAGTGTTCGATGTCTTCTGCTTGTTATAAAGAGTAGAGATTTGATTACAGTTTTTTTATAATGTTGTGCTTGAATAGTTAAAGCTAAAAAGTTCGATTTGGTTAGTCAATAACGCACGACACACTTGCCAAAACCGTGCGTCGGCGATTAAAATTTCACTTTTATAGATATGTGCGAGTTTCGCTCTAATTGTACAATTACTATGTAATACACGGTTGGCCATGAAATATTAACAGCTTGCATGCTCGTGATAGCGGCCTCCTGCGTTCGATCGGTTGAAGAAAGGGGTGAAACGAAGGGTTTGTTGAAGCTAGTTTAACTCTAGTTATACATGAAAATTTGAATGTGATGAAGAACAATCTTCAATCGTCGACCTGCCAATGTTTGAAATTTAGAAAAACTGAAATGTAGCAATTTAGGATTCCAGCGAGTTTTCCTCGTATGTTAACACTGCAAACACAAACATCTTGAGTCATTGCTTCGAACGATGATCTCAAACAGGAGCCCTGTCTCAAAGTATTTTGCATGATCTCGAGCCTTTGGCTTACACAAATGAGGCTATGCAAACTTAACATACATGGTGTGGTTCAATTTTATCCTTGGTTCAAATTTTATTTTCTTTTGTTTTTGGGTATTGTAATGTATGATAATGAGTTTGAAACAAAGGAAAGTAAAATTTGAACAATAATAAAATTGAACCACAACATATACAAGCGAGCCAGCTTTTAAAACTTTTACCAAAATCAAGGCCGAAATAAGAGTGTGCTTATTTCACACACTTTAGGATTTGGATTGTGTTTTGTCCATTTAATGTTAATGACTAGGCTGTACGTCTCAACATGGTTAAAATCTATGATTATATTACACATGAGCACAATATAACCTCATCTGCCGCACAATGCCTTTTTGAAGTGCATTTGCTTCAGGCACTAAAACGGTAGACAGTCTTTCGCTAATTTACATGTCGCGTTGCTGAGCCATTTTGAAATGAGTTTGGCTGGCCTGCTTTGGAAACCCCACATACGGTGACATTCAAATCAAGAAAAATATGACGTATGTGTAACAAATGGTTTATAAAAAATTTAGTCTCCAATGATCTCTATTCCTTCCAGTTCAACCCCACACCATGACACTCAGTGTGGATGGCTTCCTTACGAAGATTGGGGGTATGGGACGGTTCCAATGGATGCTGGTCTTTGTGGTGGGTATCATGATGGTGCCTGTCACCTTTCAGCCCCTCATCATGGCGTTCCTTGGATTAGAGCCCCCCTGGAAATGCGCTCAAAACAGCACCGTTTGCAACTTTACAGGTGAGTAGCCGTGTTCTCCGTTCCCTCAGGGGAAGGACGAATGAAAGGGCATCAATGGGGTTTTATAAATTGATTTATCGATTTCCTTTTTTGCTTCTAAGTGTGTTTGACTATCTTGCTTTCTGGCTTTAAAGCGATTTTCTTCTGAAAATCAAATTTCTCAAGCTTTTGTTCCTCACTTTGTTCGGTGATTTCCGTTCTATTAACATATTGTTGTTGTTTTTGCCTTTTTAGAAGAATTCGATATGTCATCGAATAACCCGAACAAGGATTTCAGATGCGATATTGATGACAGTGAATGGGAGTTCACTAAACCATACACATCCATCGTCACAGAGGTGGGCCCAACTTCTTCTCACTTCGAATCTTCACGCCGTAAAATCTCCAATAAGTCCCCTTGATAAGGCTATAAGTTCCGATAAGTACCTACTTTCTAATTTTTCCCCTTCCACCCTCCCCTCCCCCCTCCCTCCGCTTCCCTTAGTTTAAAACTTCACATCGAAAAACTGTACCAGTACCAAAAATACGTTATCTATGGAATGCAAATTAAATAACCTTCGATTTCTGATCAACAGTGGCGCTTGGTGTGTTCCTGGTCCACATTGGCTTGGGTGACCACCTCGATCCAGTTCCTAGGCTGGCTTTTTGGTAACGTGGTGTTCGGTGTCTTATCTGACAAGTATGGCCGCCGAAAAGTTCTCTTCTTTTCATGCAGTATGGTTTGTTGGGTGGCATTTGTCAGTTCGTTTGTTCCTTGGTATTGGTTATATGCTGTGCTAAGGTTCATGATCGGCTTTGGTCTCGGTATGTATGAATAGTAGTTACAGAACACTAGATAAGATCGAACTAACAGACTTGATCCGTCATAGATCTGAATTCAATTGAATTCGCTCTATGATTGGTAAGGCAAATGTATGTCACCTTCTCAACCAATCAGAGCAAAACTAAAACGATTTGCGATTTGGAAAGTCGCTTCATACAGTTTTTTTTTGAGCTCTCATTAGCTCTTTTTAAAATCTTCCTTGGCTCTGATTGGCTGTTGTGATTACAAATGCAGGGGGAGCCATTGTGTGCCTCTTCATTATGGCAACTGAATTCGTGGACCCCAATCACCGCGCCATGGCAGGCACCTTTGCGTGGTATTTTTGGACTGGGGCCTTGATGCTGGTGGCTCTGTTGGCTTACCTGATTAGGGACTGGAGGAAACTTTCTATCGCCACCTCGGCACCAGGCCTCGTGCTTTTCATCTTTTGGATGTAAGATGGCGACGAGTTTTGATTGCTTTATATAGTGGTCGGAACCTGCTTGAGTCAAGCAAACGGCGTAAATATAAAAATTTGTTTTTAATACAGACTAGTTCCTGAATCAGTACGCTGGCTGACGACGCATCAACGAGTCGAAGAGGCGGAGAACATTCTTAAGCGAGTGGCAAAAATCAACAAAAAGTCCATGCCCGAGGAGAACTTGGGTCTGCCTGACGATCAGAGGACTACAGAGAAGGAGGCTGGGTTTATGGATTTGTTTGGATCCCGCTCGATGATGAAGAAAACTATCATCTCTTGGATCTCTTGGTGAGTTTAAGCTTCTATAAACTATTCTGATAATCTATCTCTACCTGCCTGTGTGTGCATTGATTTATTTGTAGTTTATGCAATTTTTTAAATTGAATGTCGAAATTAATCCGGAATTTCTGTGGTTTTGCTTTACTTCGCTCTGTGATTGGTTCAGAAAATTCGCGCCACTTTCTCGACCAATCAGATTCAAAAATAAAACCAATCACGCCTTGGTCACGCCAGTTTTGCTGCGCTTCTGGCAGTTTGCTTGTATTCACTTTGGATTCTCTCGACTGCTTTGTTCTGATTGGCCATGATGATTACTTTCGCTTCGTTTTACGACACTTAATCGAAAGATGAGCTTTAAATTCTATCGATTAATTATTTTTACTCATCAAAGTGTCATTTGTTTGTGTTATTCGTTATTCACTTATTTTTCTAATTCCCCATATTGAAAAGTAATTTGTTTATTGATAGTGTACCTACCTGTATATTTTTACCTACCCACAAAATGTAACAACACACGATTTAAATAGGCACCTGACTAGTAAAGCTTCCTGTGGCTACTTCGGGATCTTTGCTAGTAACTTATCTATTTAAGATATATTTTGTAAAATTTTACTCTCATTTATCTTAGGTACAAGTGAATTGCTGATGTTGTGCGAGTCGCCACTCGACGTATTTTCGATATCATACATCTGTCACTATCTCAATCCTTCTTGGCTGCAGGCGCACCGTCTGTTTTCTGCTTTCTTGACAATTCCTGCTTGGAACCCAGAACTCGACAAAACAGAATGACATTTTTACCTTCCACAAAGGAACGATCTTGTAAAATTCTAACCAGTTCATTTTCTTTTCCTAACAGGTTTGTCAACGCACAAGTGTACTTTGGTGTTTCGTTAGGTTCTGTCATGTTGGGTGGTAACATTTATCTCAATTTTTTCCTAACTTCGCTGGTCGAACTTCCTGGCAATGCCTTCGCTATTTACGCCATGAACAGGTTGGTTGTCATAATCGTAATCTCTGTCTTAACTTCATTTTGCTTTCGTTATTTTCACAGCTGGACGCGCGTTTCTCCGCCCATGGGAAGATTTTACACGGGTCGGGGAGAGGTTTACCGGGGTCTGACACCAACACCTAGATCCCTTGCAGAGTTCTAAACGGCTTTCATTGCACAAGGTCTCAAACTTTCCCGCGGGCGAAAAAACACTTGTGCCGTTACACTAATAAAAAGGGCCTGCCGATGCACTAAGCTCAGATAATTTTCAGGGCACTTATATGCTCCACTTTTTTCAAGTAACTGTAAAAAAGCGATCGATAATATCATTTTCATCCATTTTTTGTTTCATTAGTAATTTTCTTACTTTTTTCACTGCAACATAAATTTGTTTTCATTAAGCATTCTCCTTCATCCTTTTTTAAAAAGACTTTTGGTTGTATCCTACTGACCTCTGATCCTTTTTCTCTTTTCTAGATTTGGTCGAAAGAAAGTAGTTGTAATAGGTTTAGTTGTGGCAGCCATATCAAATCTGTTAGTAACTGTTTTTCCTTCTGATCCTGATAATTCAGGTGAGGTGGATTTTGGACAAAATCTTTCTTTTCTCGTTTCACATTTCGACCTTCACCCACTGTTAGGTAGGACTGGCCTCTCAGTTACATTCTTGGTAGTATAGTATTGTATCTCTAGGCCCACTTTGAGAAACAATTTTTTTCTTATATTTCAGCTTTGCAGAAACAGGAATACTAATCGACAGATCCTAGCTAACACCCCTAACTCTCTCGTTTTGTCCACCTTTGTTCTCCTACCTGTCCCTGGCGTTCATTTCGTAAAACGTGCCGAAATTGTAAACGGTACGGTAGTAGCGCTGTCACAGCGTTTTGGGATACCCAAAACGCTGTGACATCGGCTGACGAAGATTGACGGAAATTTGGGTCGAGTAAGGACCGTCCCCTTTTTTTCACCCCTCCGCCACTATTGCATCACCATTTACTACAGCGCTTTGTTTAAGTAACTTAAGGCCTACCACAGGCCATCCTGCTTATACCCTTTTACGTTGTCAGTGATTTCTCTTTTTTCTCAATTTTACTCTGTAGGATACGCAGCAGGACGTATCATCTTTGCTATGATTGGGAAGTTCTCTGTTATGAATTCGTTTGACGCCATTTTTGTGTTCTCCTCAGAGTTGTTCCCGACTGTAGTGCGGTAGGGAACATGTTTGCGAACGTTATTTTCAAGTTATCAAACAAAGTTTCCCCTCTCTTATTGGAAATCTTTAAGCGGTACACAAAGCTGCCAGTTTCGTTTATACTGATCTATGGTTAGTGGTCGGTTAGCTTGCGTAGCATGCGCTAAATTTAACTAGGGGCGAGTGATTTTGTCAGGCAAGCCACATGCGCGCGAGAGCTTTTTTGTATGACTCTCGCCATCTTGCCTTTGTTCGTTAACCACGAATCCTAAGGTACTTAAAAATTGTCATCCAGAATACTTAAAGTCTGTTTTACCTTCGATTATTATATTTTTAATAGCCATTTAAAATCGGTTCTGTAACGGCGCTGCTAACAACGTATTGTTTTGGTCCCCGCATTTTTCGGACGAGAATTCAGGTGCGAAAGGGAAGTTGTCTTGCTCTAAACGTAATTAAAAATAAAAATTTTCTCTTCTCACAGAAATATCGGCCTCGGTTCATCTTCAGCTGCGGGCCGTTTTGGTGCGATCACATCACCATTTGTGTTAAGCTTGGTATGTACGACCCTATGATGAACTAAGAATTAAAGAACTGATTTGTGAGACTGAAGTGAAAAATAACGTACATGATCCTCAGCAGTGCTTAAACCCAACCTGAACAAACTTTTTTTTTGCAGAGTAAGTACATGGTTCAGCTTCCTTATATTATCATGGCGGTAGATGCCTTTGTGGCAGGAATTCTGTGCCTTCTCCTCCCTGAGACTAATAACACTCCGACAGCCGAGACACTTAAGGGTGCTGAAGCTTCCGGCGCTACTGATCTAGGCCTGTTGGCAGCAAAGGGCGAAGACGAAGAGGAGGACCCCGAGAAAATGACTGTAATGTAGGAAGATCTACAGCTAGGGAGAGGGGTTAGTACCTAAAGTCCACTCCTGGTCAGCGTCAACGATGTAAATTAGTATCTAATTCCAAACACTTTGTAGTTTCTTGGACGGAAAATTTTACTTAAACTTTTTGCTTGTTTATTAGAGGAACAGAAGGAAACAGCAGTGCTTTTAATCTAAGGCAGGCTTTCTTTACTACAGAAGTAGTTTTTGAGTAGACATTCTCGGTTTGGCGTTCATGCAATGGTTTAAGTTTTTGAAGAGATTTTAGAATTCTAGACGACTTGTTTCCAGAGGTAAAACTGTATACCAGCGAGCCATTGGGAAATCCGATTGCGTTTTTAAAAGCTTCTGATACGAAAAGTGGGCATTTAATCGGAACTAGTACAAAAGATCGTCTTCTCTTTTAAATTCGGGTTGTAAGGCCATCGATCGATCGTTTCTACCAAGTGCACTTTTCACCATTTTCGTAACTCTACTCCAGTTACAAAAATCTACTACATGTCAAGTATTAGACCGCAAGTAGTCACGCCTTTTCGGTGAAGTCCGTTTCGCGTCCCAGAAAAATCGGCGGAAAAGGAGACTGATGATAACGCGCCGCGCGGAACTCCAGGAGAGAGGTACACAAAAAGTACCAAAAGAGTTCCGTACAACGCGTTGACGCCAATTTCTATCTTTTTTGTTGTTTTGTTTTTTATTTTTACCAGCGCGCCAGATTTCGCCAAAAAGGAGGGACTTCTCCAGTCTAGTATAGTAGTATAGTATAGTAACATTAATTAATCATAGGAGTTATTAAAACTGTTCGATTAAAGCTGGTTTATTTATATTTAGTTAATGCCACTGACCAAATACAACCCTATCCTTGGTGAAAAGAGTGCGTTTTGAACAGGCGTGAGTTATTCAGACGGGCACTCGCGAGCTAACGAGCAAGAAGTCACCCGACAGATCGCTCGTGGAGAAAAAAGAGCACTTTATTAATTGTTGGTATTTTTTATAACAAAAGTAAATGCAAAATACAAATTTTGAGGGGCTACGATATAAAGATTGCTAGAGATACCCGAAATGTCGAACTTTGTCAAAACGTCGGTGACTGTCACCGTATCCATGGTAACCGTCACCGTATCCATGGTAACCATTCCTTTTCAGGACTACTCGGACCTCACTATAAATACTACATTTATCGTTATGAATTGTAGCTGCGAATCTAAATGGTTTTGCCGAGGGAAATGTCGGTCAGACGTGAAAGCTGAGTAAATACAATACTTTTTGAAGAAGGAAGCATAGACAAATCTGCTAATTCTGGAGCTTAGTCAAGAGATAAATCATTTACGAAAGAGAATAATTTCGATTATTTTTTTTAAAAAGATGATCAGAGTAATGTCCTAAGAGATAAAAAGATATTCAAAATGATTTCCTAAGCTATAAAAATGTGCAAAAAAAATGTTTTTATCCAAAGTAGGATGTCCTCTTAAGCCTGGAACATAACCTAAATACTTTTCACTTTCTTCGGCTCAGACAAGTAAGGGAATTTCCGCGCATTAGAATTTATAGCAAGGCAGTGTAAGCATTGTTTGCTTTCATTTTAAGGAATAGTGTCGCGAAACTGACGCACGTACAGTAAATAGTTCTATATGAGAAAATCTCTTCTTTGTAGAGAGAAGTTATTGGAATATGACCAGGAAGAATTTTAAAGGTCAATCTGTAAGAGTCAGTTCACCTAGTAGATATCATTCATTAACTAAAGGTGATTCCACAGAAAGAAAAGAGGTCAAACGATTTTTTGTAACTTTCCTTGAATGTTCCCTACCAATCTTTGTTTCGATAACTGCAATGAAAAAGTAAGTCACCATGTTTGTTAAAGAGATCTAATAGACCAAATTTACCTCGTACATTGACTGTAAAAACCAATAACATGTTCTACGAATGCGCGCGCTTATTGCGCAATACAGCATACGCAGTGCAATACTGAAGAATCACCTCAACAGATTCTGCCTTTGTTAAAACATTTAAGTCCAAAACTAACACTTGTCATAACTTGAAGGAGAACCAAAAGAAGTACTTCGGAGAGATAGGGGAAAAAAAACTCCAAAGGTGGCAAGACAATCACAAAGATGTAGCGTAATCCACGAGGTTTGCTCTGCTGTTTGTGGTGTCTTTCACATTGTCGGCCATGGTAAGTTGCTTGCCATCGGCGTCTTCCTTCTCTTTGTAATCTACGGCTGATTTCAATGCCATGTATGCTTCTTCTGTGCTTTCGGTTTCCATAGTTTCAGCAGTTGGCAAGTCTTTTGTCTCTGGTAGAGTCTGGCACAGGATTCCCGCTAACAATGCATTGCCTCCCATGATGCCGTACGGGAGGAGTGGGTGAGTAAATCGCTATGAGAAAGTAAAATATCAGAGGCAAACGAGATAAGTTTAATTTTGAAATGAAAGCTATAAGGAAACCCGGATTGTATTGCGATTATTTTCTCTTCATTGCAATTGATTCAGATAACGCGCTTTTTCTCAACCAATCAGATACAAAAACAAACCCAATGACGTAACGGTCACGCGCGTTTTCCCGCGCTTGAAGCTGTTACATCCTTTTACTTTGGGTTATTATCAGTTCTTGGCAAGTATATCTTTGTTCTGATTTATTGTTGTAATTATTTCGGTATTGTCACATCTAATTTTAATTAAAGCGCGCTAATGGCAAAGCAAAACAAGGAAGTGTAATTATCTGGTCTATTTTATGTAAGAAAAAAAAGGAGAAAAAAATCCTCACCAGATGAATTACATAAGAAGATAAAAACGAGCCAACCCGACCAGAGGCTGTTGATGTGCCCATTCCTATGTTTCTGTGAAGAATGATGAACCAAAAAGTTATAATCAGAATGGGTATTCTGTTTGCTGCACAAAATCATCGCCAAGAATATTGGTGTGGAGCGTAAAGCATTCTCAAAACGACCACCAAGCAAGGCATTGTAATTGGTTAGGAAAACAAAAGTGCCCGAAATGTTTTTATAACAGTAAGTTACTAAGGCACTGTCTTTGACAAAAGCTCTCGAAGTCACTGATAAATTAAAAAACGCCAAAAGTTTACGCTGTTGAGTGAAAAATAATACCTGATGCATTGTAATTAGTTAGGAAAACAAAAATGCCCAATTTTTCTGTAACAGACAGTTACTAAAGGCCCTGTCTGACAAATGCTGTAGAAGTCATTAGTAAACTAAAAACGCGAAATTTTACATCATTCTGAGTGAAAAATTCTACCTGATGACTGTTGGGAAGAGTTCCGCAGCGTAAACATAGACGGCATCAAATGAGATGAACACAAAGAACTTTGCTGACATCGCCATAAGAATACGACCAGCCATGAACCCTGAAAACAGAGCAAGGGTAAAAACAAATCAGTTTCATGCACGTGCTACATGGCTTTTTTACTTGCATCGATACTTGTTTAGCGTTGCAGGCATAGTTTTGCTGGAGGGAAAAAAAACAGCATACCGAAAAAAGACCTCTCTCCTTGTAAAACCCATTCGATGCTGTTAATCCCAGTAGTATGCAGGACGCATGTCAGATAAGTATGAAGTCTAACTGACCGACGAGTTCTGAATAGCTCATTTGGAAGAGCACCCAATCGCGACATCGAACCAGGCCGGGTTGGAATCCTTATGAGGGACAGGTGACGAATTTTAACAACTTGTTTCTCCATTCGAATTAAACGGCGGAAAAATCGCTGATTCACCAAAGTCGCACTCATCAAAAGGGTACTAATGCGCATGCTTTGCTCTCAGGGTAAGTGATCGCTGACTAAAATCGACTGAAAGTTTTTTTACAATCCTTTACAGTTCCTTCGTCGTGTCATTAGAACTTCTCGCTCGTTTTTTTCTGTTCTGTCAATCTGGTCGAACATTCGAAAAAAGAAATGGAATGAAAAGGACAGTACAAGAGAGAAGATGAGGAGTTAACCCAGCAAATATGATGGTGCGACCTCATCCAGTATGAATCATACCTTTATCGTTCCCCGGATCATACATTGTACATAACACTGCACCAGTTGAGGCGAGCGCAGCAAGGATCAGGAAATAAACCAAAGGCTTTTTGCGGCCGAACCTAATGCACATAAAAACACAGGGAAGAATGAAATATGACATTCTGATAAAAAAAAAAAGTTTGATTGACAGGACAATTCTCGCCTTAAGAAAGCTGCATTAGGTACTGAGCGCTTCTGTCACCACTCACCTTCCCATGATCCAGATGGCCACGAAATTGGCGGGAAACTCTATAACGGAGGTCAGGAAGAAATTCAGGTACATGTTGCCACCAAGAGTTGGAGTGCTGAACGATACACCATAATAAACTATGCCGTTTACAAACCTGCAAAGGAAAGCCACCAGATGACCGCAAAACATTGTATCACTAAGAATTTGTTGTGGACACTAGTCCTGGGTTTACCAAAGTATTTTTACAGCTCTCACATCTGCTAATTATTCTCGACAACAGCAAAGATAAACAGTAGTTTTTAAGTCTGTAAGCTGGCTTTGAATTAGGACGCTCCATGATTGGCTCAAAAAACTCACTTTCTCAACCAATCAGATTCATACAAAAACCATTGATCTCTCGCGTTTTCCCGCGCTTTCCTTTGGTTTAAATTCAGTCTTGCGAAACTCTTTGAAACACGCCGTAGGCACCTTTGCTACTTACTTACCAGGCATACCAAGACACCAGAGTTCTGTGAACCATTTTCTTGGTTCGAAATAAATCTCTGATGTCACCTATCTGTTGAACTTTCCCATCAGCACACGGGTTGTATAGAGGTTCCTCTGGGTATTTCTTCTTGTTTGTTGCTGCGATTTCCCGAAGGATTTCTTCCGTCTCAGAAAGCTTACCCTTGAGTAGTAGATACCTCGACGATTCCGGAACAAACCTTGAAACAAGATTAAGGACAATAGAAATTTTCTTCGTATCCAACTGTATAGTAAAAGTCATACTGCCTTGTAACTTGGAAACTGTGGGAGAGTTTTTAGTCTTCAAAGTCTTAGATGACCGGGAGTTTAGTGTTTCTCTTCATGGACGTATTGAATCCTAAATTTTCCCTACCCTCTGCTGTTACCTCTTGAACGTCTGAATGGAAAGAGTCGTAGAGACTCTGTGACAGTGTCTCGTTTAAAGACAGAAAAATGAGCTAAAGCCATGAGGGTACCATGAGAAACAATAATTGCGAATTCGACGAGTTCCAGAACTCATAAAATTCACACACATTTTGCTGCATTATGCGTTACCTCACAGGTCGAGTTTGATGCCACTCCTGTGCATCCCCTCCCCTGCTTGGAAAGTCTTATATTTACTCACCTCCACGCCAAAATAGAGATCAGGCCGGGTGCAGAACACATGATTGACAGCATCCTCCAGTCACGCACCGCATACGCTAATCCTGCCAACGTAACAAGACCCAGAGCCCACGAGTAAAACAGTGACGTGCCAGCGACATGCCGGTGCCTCTTGCCGACAAATTCTGTTGCCAACACGTACATTCCCATGGATCCGCCCCCTAAAAAATTGGTACAAGAATAAAAAAATATTGTTCATACTAAGAGAAGTAAGCGCTGCTTTACCGTGAATTAGTGCAATATTCAGAAGCCAGATATCGACGTTAGCAATTATATAAAATTTAAAAATCATTCATGTACGCGACGCGGTCAGTCTACTGGCCGTTCTCTAACTGTCTCAGCCTGTAGGACCAGCAATTTTCAACCTTCGTACTTTGTTCGAATAGTTGAAATATTGTTTTTAATGTAGCTTTTCCTAGACATTTTATCTCTCTGGGTTATTTTAAATTATTTTTAAATACAACTGTCAGTCTCTTTCAATGTCAGTTTTTGATGTGGTCCATCTCTTAAGACGTGAACCTGTACGTTTCAATCGAGAGTCCAGCACGCTTACAGATAAGATTATACGGTTAAAACTATAGCAATAATAAACGTATAATCAGAGAAAAATTCGTAAATGTTATGAACTCTATACCTATACTTAAACCTGTACAGAGTCTGAACAGGATAAACAGCCAGAAATGATGTGGAAAGGAGGCAAGAAGGCCAAACAAACTTGTAGTGAACGTGAAGATCAGCAAAACGGGTTTACGGCCGATTTTATCAGAAAGAACACCTCCACCAAGTGCACCAACCAACCAGCCAGCGAACACGAGAGATGTGGAAAGGCTCGACAGAATGGCATTATCACAAACTAAGTCAAACTGAAATGCATAACATAGCGGAGGTATAAATGGTATGTTCGAAAACAGATACACAAAAACAAAAGAGATTTAACAGCGCTTGTATGCAAACCCGACAAATGTGCAAGCAGCACAAATAACCAGTGCAAATACGAAAGAATCAAATTATGAACTAAAAGAGAGTTAAAACCTGAAAAATATTTTACATCATATTGCGCAGAATAGTCCTAGTATTAAAATCTTCTTGTGGTAGAATTTATGATATTAAAACCCTCTTTTGAAAATTCTGAATTCCTTTGTTACTTCACCCTCTCCGTCACATCCTCCTCCTAAGAGGTCACTACTTACACCTCTAATTTTCATCCAGTCACAGGTTTTCTTTTTTAATTTAATTAAATTTGAGTGAGTTAAATTACCGTTGTGACTACAGATGTAAAATCGTCAGCAAACTTCCAGGATTCTCTAGGCATTTTACATCGCCGTTCATCCGTAGCGTCAAATTGACCACTAATGTTACAATGGCTGTTATTACCGGCGCACATCCATTTCGGTTCAGCCGAGATGAAGCTGGGCAACATCACCTGGTATGTCAAATTAATCATTTCAATGTAACTCAAGATGATTATGAGACGGATCTGGTACAAACCCATGCTGCCAATTTTCTCCAACACTTCATCCACACTCAAAGCCATTTTCAGTTTCAAGGCGATCGCACCAAGTTTTCGAGGTGGGACTAAAATAAGAAGAAGGAGAAAAAGAAAGATAAGAAAAAAAGAATCTGGCTCAAAAAAAAGTCTTTAACCTTTTAATTTTCAGACAAAATATACATTCTATCAAAAAAAAAAAAAAAACCCGTCAAAGAAACACGTGAATAACGGTGATGCGCATGGCAGAACACGTGTAAGCATGTAAACGTGCGAGGCGTGTCTCCTCCTTGAAGGGGACACACGCGCGCCTTATTTACCTTCGCGCTTCGTAATTCTTGTGCTTTGCACTAGTTCACAATTATATGAATATGATCACCAGTTGCCAGCTGCGTTCAAGTGATACGTAACAATGTGATTCTAGCTTGCATGGCTGACGAATTTTTGGGTACTCGATGAATCTAAACGTGACAGAAACAAGAGAATTTTGCTGCTATTACGCGTGGCTCTGTCGCTCAACTTTTCCTAGCGCTCAAAAAACTACTGACTGTGCAGGTTACATGAAACAAAGCGAAAATTGGGTACCAAAGGCCCTAAACACGAAAGTAGTTTAATAAATGAGGATTTCACCAATTCTGACCTTCTACAGTTTCCTGCACAGTCTGCTGTTCTTTCCCACGGCCAAATTCAGCGCCAATTGCTCATTTAATAACAGTTTGAAAACCAGACCAGTATTTTTTTCCCGATCATAGAAATTGACTAAGCAAGCAAATCGAGAACAGCAGGTCAAATGCAATTAAGTCTTCACAACATTCGAATAATCTCATATATATATTCACGAAAAGACCAGAGCGTACAGGTTTCCGAGGAAAATTTCGCGTATTATAAATGCCTAGGAGTTAATACTCAAGTGCTAGGTTTCATCCTAATAAACTAGTAAGTGTTCATTCAAAAACTATTAACTTTCATACAGTTGCACAGACCAAGTACTCAAGAACACCTGCCAAATTTTTGGCCTTCATTTACCCTCAGGGGTCAATTCACCGTTTAATTTTGCCATTTTAAATCGTGCAAATCGGAACCAAGAAATCCCAGGGGCGATCCTTGGGGCGGCCTATCTTTTGTCGTCTGGCTTAGGCGCTGGAGAAGTTCATCTCCGCTGCTATGATTGCCTCTAAAGTTTTTGGGAAGAGTATAATCGAAAAGTGTACCACACAGAAGAGACAAAAACTTTGCTTAATGCACCTTTGCACGTCAATAGCCGGTACTTAATTTCGCTTTAATGTTGGATACCAGTGCAAACAGGTACACGACGAATGTGTGCCGATCATGTAACAAGGCTGCCTCTTCGTGCAATGTACAATATTCCAGAGGAACTGTGAATTCAACTAATGTTCACAGTAATATTTGCAAATGACCCTACCTTTGGGCACGTTGCTTGTAATCGTCTCAAATATTTCAAGAACTCGCCTGTAAGCCACAAGGATGCGTAAAATTCCGAGCAATAATGAATGTTTGAAGATGAAATGAGGTCAAATAACGAGAACAATGCATTCCTCAGTTGATAATTTACAAATGTAATAATAAGTGACGGGCGGAGGGCGGGGGATGGGGTTACTGTTATGCGCACCCTCAACCTCGCTCCTAGGGCGCTTTCCCCCTCAAATTTCTCGAAATGGTGGTCCGCAGTAACAAGAGTTTCAATAAGTTTTTCCACAAGCGGCTACCAATGGTGTAATCAGCGGCTGTGCCTGGAAAGGAAGCCGTAAGGCGAAACCCTAACATTGAGGCCAGACAGCGGTGGGAGGTATTAAAGGCGGCCGTAACCGTTTCTTTTTTTGTTGTGGTCGCACTACAGACTTTTGTCCCTGGGAAACGTGACTCGATGACAGTCCACTCACGGGAAACTTAAATGTACCAGTGTGACCGATTATTACCTTTGGGAACTTCTGATGGAACTGGGATCGGTCAGGAGAACGAAAGGTTTTCCCAGCTACCCTAAAGCAACAGAATTAACATTGAAAATATTGGTCAACACCCCCCGCGGTATATCACAGGGAGTACCCCAGAGGTCATTGTCAGTGACACAGGCATGCTCGATAGAAAGAAAGACAGGATGTTCGCGACTGAAGGGTCCAACTAACGACTTTTTGATTAGTGGTTCTGTCGCACTTTGTTATGGTCTTCGCTTCATGTAATACCTGTCACGATCTTTGTAGCAAAATTATCGCGCTTTGTTATGAAATTTCACATTTTGTAAGAAGGCAGGGGTCGCACTATGGGAAAGTTTTCAATTTTTTGAGAAAAAAGACAATTGAAATGCGTAACCGCAACAAGAAAAAAAACCTTTTTAGTCGCAGGAGAACAGTCGCATTAGTGAGGTAACTATCGGTGTTTTGACTTGTTGAGAACTGCATGTTTACTGCTGGGAAGAAAGATATCGCGATCATGTGTCCTGTTGAAGAAATTTTCCATAGTTTGCACAAGAAACATCAAATCGGCAAGGTTCACTGACAAGCGTTGACATATACCACTGTGATTTCTTTTGTTTAACGCAATTTTTCCAAAATCTGCCAGCCTCACCCACGTATAAAAATGTTCCCGAAGACAGATTTTAACCGCAAAGTAAACACATTTCCCAAGCGCGACACTCGTCGCACTTTGTAACAGACCATCACGCTTTGTAATACTTTGTAACAACAGACCATCCGTAAATTTTTTTAAAGAATACAGATTGCACTCACCCCACGGGCTCGTGCAATTTGGTTAGCCTTTGAAAAATCTGCTGGTGCTGATTTATCCCAAATTGCATCCGAAACCATGTGATTACCTATACTAATGATACAGCTAAATCTAAAAAGCGATGTATATGTGGTAAACCCTAAAAATAGACAACTTAAATACAAAATCCTCGCATCACACTCTGAGAATGTTAAGCTGACAAAGACGAAAAATCATATCTCAAAAAGCAGTGTCATGAAAAGAATCGTCTCCGATGCTTGCACTGCTGTTCATCTCGTTGCCACAATTCTCTTTTTCTCCCTTTTTATCTTCATCATTCTCTTTCCCATTATTCATTTTCTCACGATCTTTCACTTGTTCCTTTTCATCGTTTAGCTGTATGTCGTCTATGGCCATATTTTGAATCCCTAGTTCCACTCCCTCCTCGGAGTCCATCGTCTCAGGAGTGGGTGTTCCTTTCGTCTCCGGTAGAGTCATACACAATAGACTGGCTAACAAGGCTTTGATTCCCATGATGCCGTAGGGGAGGAGAGGATGTACGCGCGTCTGTGAGAAAATAAATGATGCGGAAAAGTCTTAGGTCGTGAGAGTCAGCAGACAGAAGGTATCCAAACATCAATGTGGCCATTTTGTTTAGAAACCCTTTATTGGCTGAAAGGATCCGGCGGTTGGCGCGAAGATGAGAGTAACTTAAACGCTCAATAGAATAAGGGAGATGGTAAGTTTTGAGCCCGGTAAAGAAATAGAGAAAGATGTTTTTCGTCTTGTCACGA